GTTCTGCATGGAGCACTGGGTGTTATACACAAACAATGAATCATGGAACACTACATCAAAAACTAATGATGTAATGTATGGTGATTAACATAAAAATTTTTTAAAATTTTCTTTTCTTTAGCTTATAAGGACTCCATTCTTTCCTTAGCATCTAGCCATGGAGTTACAACTCCTAACAATCTCCGAAAGTAACAAATGCTCTTAAGTCACAATGAAGAAACTTTTCATGGAAGGGGTAGCATTTTCCATAAGGAGATTTTTAAAATGATTTTCCAAATATACTGAAATAACAGGACTTTAACATGGCACAGCCTTCAGAAATAAAGATTTATTTAGAAGACTGAGGGGAGTTTTCCCTTTTCCGTTAAGTCAAATGGGAAAAAATAGAATAGGATGTAAATTTTGCATACATTAATACCATATATTAGTCATCTTCCCTCCAAATGCATATTATGAAAAAATGTAATGTCTTTAAAATGTGTACATTGAAAAGGACTCAAAATTCTATTATCAATAGGATTGAATTTGTAAGGGAATTTGTACTTTATGGTCCCTGAAAATTCTATAATTCTTTGTTAACTTCAGTATTAATATTCAGTTGTTTAGATATCAATAAGATGCTAACGCTAATAAACAGCCTTTTTAGTAAAAGGTAATAATACTAAGATAACACGTAGTTATAGTAGTAATAAAACCAGAGGCATTTTGCTATAAGTATTTGTTTTCAAAGAAAATGGAAAATGTGTTCTTTAATATGCAAGAAAACATTGGTAACTAGAACATATCAAATACTCACCAAGATTATTATATTACCTTAAACATCAGTTTAGCAGCATCATAAAAGTAATTTGCTTTCCGATAGAGTTCTATGGCATCAAGAGTTTTATTCTTTTCCAATAAATGAGATGCATACCTCGCTAACAGAGATCCAATTTCTTTCATACTATGATTTTTAGCCAATTCAACAGCTTTGTTCCACTAGGGGGAAAAATATACCATTCAGTTACCCAAGCATTTATAGTCATAGATGTCATAAATTTCATACAATAAAGATTTAAGTTTATAGTAATAAAAAATGATACAACAAAATCTAAAAATTGTATGTTTTTTAAAATAAATTTAACTAAAATCAGAGCAATTATAAGTTCTATAAGTTAAACATGTGTCAAAATGATTAAATGATGTCCATTGGAAAAGGAAGTCCATTGGAAAAGGAAAACTTCAAAGTTTATACTCACAATATTATAATTCAATTTTGCACCAGCAAGGCATGGGAAAAAGCTACATTTGCTTATAGTAAAACAAAATATGCAATTTCAGTTAAGAAAATGTCCGATCAGATTTAACATTTAAAAGTTATTTTTAAAAAGCAAATGGAGCTTTATAAAATACTTCAGTACTTAAAGGAATACACTGATATTCAGCAATTTCCACGATTCTCTACTTTAATTTTAGTTAAATTCCAGCTCTTAAAAATACCAAATATATGTTTACTATAAAGAGACAGGAAAATAGATTTGCCAAAATAAATATTGATAAGGTAACCCAATTCCTTCCTCTTGCAATGACCATTACCTAGTCCTTCTTTGGAAACAAAACCCTAATAAAATACAGAAGATTATGAAATTACTTCCAGACAAAAACTTGCCAGACTAGAAGCACAGGGTTTGTCCCATATTGAGTTAGTTATGAGCGGGTCACCCTCAATGGTAGCACTTTAAGAGGTAAGTGCAAACTCCAACATTTTCTAGGTCCTCAGCAAAGTAAGACATTATCTAGCTCCTTTCACAAAATTCGCCTCAACCCTACACTGGCAACAGCCTAAAAGGATGACTAGGGACTTTAGTTTTCAGGTCCTTACTTGGTTGAGATGGACACAGGTGTCTACTGCTGCCTTTGGCTGATTACATTTCAAAAATGCAGTCACTGCTTGTTCACACATTCCAACCCTCACAAACATCTGTGCTATTTCCTGTAAGGACAGAACATTACTCTCAGATTTCACACACCACGAAAATCACTTATATTTTCATTTACAAAACTCCACAGGGACATATGAGTATTAAATTTACTAATGGTTACAGTCATTTTTCGTTGAAATATACACAGGGACAGCGGCTAAAAACCAGAAAGGATGCTAAGGCATCATTTTCTATAAAACCAGAGTTTCGCTGGCTCACGCCGCAGATCTGACTTTTAACCAGAGGTCCTGAACATACTGCACTCTTTTCTCATCCCAGTACAGTAGCAACTCTACAGAAATGTCAAGTTCTGAAACAAACTCCATAGCAGTGTGTGAAAAAACCATTTAGGGCAACCGATGGTATAATCAATGGTCATCGTTAGAGGCTTCAGCGGAATCTCACATTCACAGAGCTCTCACATACCTCTCTAAAGAAATGCCCCAGACAAGCCAGCCGTTTGTTAGTGCAGGAAGCTAGATCCAAAACAGAGCTCCCTTGCAGGGTGGTGGTGAGGAGGGAGATCACAACAAAACCCAACCACACCCATCGGGCTTACTCTCCATTTTCAGAAAAATCCATTTTCTTTTTCTTTCTGAGTATCTACTTGGCCAGAGTTTTTCTCTCCCCACCCTCATTTCTAAAGTATTTGGGGAAAATCATAAAAGTACATTTTGGACCCAACTATCTTTTTAAAAGTAATATTTGTATTTCTCTGGTTAGAAAATAGTAACACATTCTCATGGTGGGGAAAAAAAAATGTTTTCTAGCACAAAAATGTAAAGTGACTCATAATCTCCCTACCCATAGGAAATCTATCTCAATGGTGTGATGTAATTTCCTAACATCTTTGTCCTATGAATCTATATGGATGTGTGAGTTGCTGTATGTATTGTGATATTATGTATAGTTCTGCACCCTGAAATTCCTACTTAAATATTATGTACATTTTACCATATTATTAAAAAACTCCTCCAAAAACTTGATTTAAAATTTGCACTACTAAAATTTTTTAATCATTTTAATTATTTAATTATTATTATAGCTATAATTACTTAGTATTTACTCAGTAATAATACTTTTTTGGATATTCTATAGCAACACTCTTTTCTGCATCACCAGACACACCTAACAGATGACATTAATGTAGGATACACTGTCCTAATACCCAGGGTTGTAAGTAATTTCAGTTTCTCTCCTACTCAAGAAAGCACAGGACTGAAAATAAAGGTAACTGAAAATATCATTATTACAGGGATAACTGCTCTGATTCAAAAGAGAAAACCAAATTCTCAGAATTCTACTATTCATTCATCTATTAATTGACAAAATTTTTATGGTAGAACTCACAACTGATATACGTCCAGACCATGCAGTTGAGAGATGCTAACTCTACAGGTACTTTACAACTCAGTTATTTACATTTTAGATAAAACAAATAAAATATAAATTCATTAACATCATTCAACAATTAATACACTTAAAAAGAACGTTCAAAACAAAGTTCCAGAAAACTCTTTTTGTTTCTCTTTTTTTAACATTAAATACTTTATTGTTAAAATAACCTAATAAAAGTCAAGCTATCTTTTTTAACTTTTGTTATAGCAAATTTCAAATCCCCAGACCAAGCTTGGATCATTTTGAGGCAAATCTCTGATAAGATATCATTTTAGCTGGAAATATTTCATGTGTTCAGCTAACTTTAAAAGCAATTTTATAAAACTGGTAAGACTACGGTAGATTGTGAACATGTTAAAGTAGTGGGAATATGATTAATTTTCCCTCCATTTTCAAGCATTCTGTAATACTGACATATTGTTTTAACAATTAAAAGTATCACTTCACATCTAAGAAACTATAAGATTATAGATTCATTTTAAATTTTCTTTGTGGCACAGAAATATTTCCTGACTGTAACATGAAAACCTTATAAAATAACCTAACAACTCTAAAACCTAAAATTTGTAATACCTACTGGAAGCAACTTGTGGTTTTCTGGAAGTGAATTGGCAAGATTCTCCAATCCCTCATAATCTTCCAACATATAATAACATTCAGCTAGACGTTCCTGGTTCCGGCCTTGTACATAATATTGTACAGCATTCAACCTATAGAATATAAAAAGAAGCAAAAACTTTTAAAACTAATGTGAACCTCCTGGTAAATAAACATTTTCACCAAAAATGTTCCTTCATTAGAATTACTAGTATTACTCTAGTTACCACCTTCAGTTATAGTATGTCTTTGAAGCATATAAATTGGAGGGAAAAAAAATCTAAAAACTGCAAAGCATATTTTAGTTGCAACATCCTTTGGATATTCTTAAGAAATATTGTTGTAATCTGATACACAGCTGTACTTCCAAACACTGACATAAATAAATAAGCATACTGATCAAAATGAAAACTTCAGAATAAAAGTCAATGATTTCTGAAAATAACCTACAATAAAACAAGCAAATATGAAATTTTTTTTTACCTTTTTCAGAAGTAGATCATATAATATCTTTGAAATGCACACTGTGGTCTTAAATAGTAGAAAGCTGTCTGAAGCTAGGCACACATTTTGTGAGTATGAAAACTCCAAAGTTTTACAACACTTATCTAAGGATCTCTTGCTCCCCAGTGTGAATCTAAAGCTGTTTGAATTTTAGGATCCAGGAGGATGGACTTCAATTTCCCCAGCGTTGTGTCATAGGGAGTTACTCAGGCAGCTACCATATTAAGTGCCGCATGAATGGAGAAGGTGGTCCACTTAGGTTACCTACCATTTTTGTCGATCAGCAAAGTAGTCTCCGATGGCATTGTGGGCTTGTTCTAGGAGACTGTCATCTGCATCACCAGATCCAGTTTTCAGGAGCTGGAGTACTCTAAACCAATCTCCCAATTTCAGCCGAAGGCCAATAGCAAGATCTCTACAAAAGATAGCATGTATTCATTCATGTGACAAATAATTTAACAACTGCCTACCACGTGATAGGTTCAATTCCAGGGAACTAGAATACACAGCAGGGAACTGAAAGACAACGTACCTCTCCAAACATTTTAGAAACTTAACCAGGAAAGAGGCAATGGGGAAAACCTGAAATAGGGAAAAGGAAGTAATTTCCTGCCTTTTTTCCCCTAGAATTCCAATTTTCCTAGCAAAATAATGATTTAAATAATAATCACTTCATCAATTTTGTAGACATGATCAGACTTATTTAAAAACCACACATATAAACACATTTGGTTTATCTTTCTTTTCAGGGCTTAGGCTGTTATTAGGGATCTCCTGGAAGTACAATATTAATAAAAATGAGACACAATGTTTACAGTTGAAATAAAGTTCATACAGTATTTTATATAAATCTAAAATGAACAGAGGAATAAAAATCAATCCCTATATACCGTTCATTTTTATTTCATGCTCCTTGACAACAAAAAGTTAAATAAAGGCCTAAACAGAAAAAGAAAACCCAAATATTGAGCTGTGTAATAAAGGATAAAAGCCCCCAGTCTCTGTAGTCTTATGGTTTTTCCCTACCAAATGAAAGCAATCCATGGCCAGCCATTAATATATGTAACAACAGCAAAGAAAACCGCCTCCAAATTACAAAACATACATTAATGAGGGACCTGTGGAACATCCAGCTGGTAATCCAAACTGAAATTATTTTCTAAAGAAATGGCATGAGACATTTAGTCTATTGTACAAAAAGATCACGAATGCCGAAGTACTTCAGGGTGCCTGTACTTTCACGACTTACCTTCTGTCCATATCAAGATACATTCTTTCGGCCTCTTCAAACCTGCCGAAGTACGCAGCAACTTCGGCCTGCTTCATGGACTCACTCTGCAGGTGGCCCAGACGCTTCACAAACTTAATGCCTTGGTAATCTTTGCAGCGTACAAATGCTTGCTCTGCAGTGTGCAAATCCAGGTTCTGAAGAGCTGCTTCAGCCAGTAGGCGCCTGTATTACAAAAGAAACAGAAAAGCTTACTGCAATTACTGATAAACAAGTCTGAACCAGAATGCAATTACTATACCTATTGTTCCTAGTCAAACTGGTGGGAAGTGATAAACACATTTATACATGTTTCACTTAATATTATGCTCATTTTGAGTACTTCCACATCTGAAATGAATTTCTGTATTTTAAAAAGAAGAGCAAGAATGGACATCTACCCCCCATGATGGCTACCACGAGAGTGGGGGACAATAGAGCTGAAACTTTAAAAAGCATACACCATGGGGCGCCTGGGTGGCTCAGTCGTTAAGCGTCTGCCTTTGGCTCAGGTCATGATCCCAGGGTCCTGGGATCGAGCCCCACATAGGCCTCCCTGCTCTGCGGGGAGGAAGCCTGCTTCTCCCTCTCCCACTCCCCCTGCTTGTGTTTCCTCTCTCACTGTGTCTCTCTGTGTCAAATAAATAAATAAAATCTTTAAAAAATAAAAAGCATACACCAGTCATTTGAGGAAGATTTTTTATTTTTAAATACCAAAGTCGGGGGTGTGGATTGTCCTCTATGAATTGAGATGCATCTTCAATGCCAACCTTCTCAATCAATGCTCGACTATCTCGCAAGGACCGAATCTCAAAGTTAATTATATAATCCTTGTTTGGATGTTCAGGATTCTAAAAGTAAACACGAAAAGAAAGTCAAATGGCTGCCCTTAGAGTACGTGTTTCTTTTTTACGGTAAAACAGACGTGCGCGCGCGCACACACACACACACACAACTGCCTCACCTTGTGAACCAAAATGGGAAGAAAAGCTATTCCAATGTGTGGGTCTTTCAAGTCATCTGGAAAACACCCACAACCCACCAGTTAAGTTCCTCCCGAGGCTATGAGGCTGCCCATGGGGAAAAGGCAGTGGTGGAAGTAGGGGTCTCTTACAATTATGCAGCCTATTTTCCCTCAGCTTAAATGTCATGTTCCCAGGAGCTACTATTCTCTTCTCGCCCGAAGTGCTGTGGATTCCACCGGAGCAGAAAACACGTGTGCAGCGTCCTCTACCCCCTCACTCCTTAATCTACTCTTTCCTTGTCAGGGGCAATGAAATTGTTGCTCCCTGTGCTGCTAGGCAGCAGACAAGCAAATAAAAGGAAAAGGGCCAGTTTTCATCACCTCTTTCTTTTCTTAATTTTGCAAGCTGGCCCCTCCAAAAAAAAAAAAAATTTTTTTTTTTTGAAGGCCAGCCTTGCAGGAAAGAGCTAGCTAATGGGCAAAGAAAACAGTTATAATGAACTCACCAATATCCTACATATTCCAAGCAAAGAAAAAGTGAAGCATACGAGAAAATTAGAGAAAACAGCAATGGCTCCCAGAACTGAGCTGCATGTGCCCCTCCTCACCCTGCAACTAAACCAGCTTCTGCATTCAGAAGCTAAAAAGTTCTCTGGGAAATCCCTGGCACAAGATAGAAAGTAGTATGGAAAGAGCATGAGGTTTGGATTCAAGCCGCCCTAAGCTTAAATCCTATTCCACTGTTCACTGGCTATGTGACAACTCTTTCTAAAACCTGCTCTACACCCCCTCCCAGCGCCACCCAGGAAGCCAAGGCCATCTTCCCCAAATAGAAACCCAATCATGTCACTCTCCTGCTTTACGCCCCCAAGGACTCCAGGATGTAGTCCAAACTCCACAGAAGGCACACAAGGCCTCTTATAACCTGGGCCAACCTACCCCATGACCATTCCCCTTCTTCATTTCTGCCAGTGCTACCAATTACATACACACAGCAGTTTTGAAGCCAGACGGCTTAGAGGCAAATCACGTCTCTGCCTACTGCTAACTGGGTGTCATTGGCAAACTAGTTTCTCTCTCCAAGCCTCACATTTTTCATCTGAACAAATGAAGAGAATAATCAAACTTACTTCCTCGAGTTGTGAGGATTAAATGAGATCAAACAGTTAGCACAATACCTGGTTGTGCTACTCACATTACTCACAGTCTCAGAACTGACCCAATGCTCTTTCGCTGCAGACCTTTGAAGGGATACATCTGCCAACTGAACTACAGCTCCCCCACGCCTTGTCTGGTTGCTGAATTTCTTGTCTATCTCCCCAACTCCTCTACTTGAGGCCAGGAACTGTGTCTTACTGACTGCCAGGAAACACTTCCTGAGTCAATGAACAGATGAACTTTTGGTAAATCATTTCACTAAGAGCCTTCTTCATCTAAAAATGAGGTCTGTGTAGTACCTACCAGGCATGGTTGTAATGACAAATGAAAAACGACATATAATGACAAATGACAAATGAACACCTCCTATGAAAGGTACTTTAGTAAATGTAAATTTAGTAAATTCCTTCCTTTTCCTTTTGCATTCTTTCTGCTCTAGTCCTCCAAGAAATTTCTCAAGGAAAAAAAAAAAAAAAAACAGGTTCATAATAAAAGGGCTACAATTTATACATCAAACTAAAACATGAAAACATGCTACCAACTGCAACTTCAGAAATGTAAAAATCTACTATTCTAATTCCATAAAACTGAATGAAGTACACAGAAAAAGTAAATGCTTTGTATAAAATGAAGGTAAAACTCTTTTCAATATATCCTTAGAGAAAGAAATTCTTAAAAGATGGTCAATGAGGGCCAAAGCAGAGGTTCAAAAAGATATCTGGCATCAGAAATGGATCATTTTATAAAGCCTGAAAAAAAAATAGGGTAGTGCCCCTGCAAAAAAAAAAGTTACTCAAGTATCCTAGAACTACAAAACACTAAATTGTCAAATATTTCTTCAGTTCCTCTGTTGATAATATAAAAAATGACAACAACAACTAGCTACTATTTTTTGAGCTCTTGATCTTAGCACTGTGCTGAGTGCTTTTTACACATTACCTTATACAATAACAATCCTGGAAGATAGGTACTACTATTATCCCCATTTTATAGAGGCAAAAAATTGAGGCTCGTAAACAAGAAAGGATAATGAAGCTCAAAAAGGTGAAGGAACCTGTCTAAAAGTGGTGCAAGTGACAGAGCAGAGTCTATCCACATTCCTAACAGGGACACTGCACTGCCTGGTGAAAAAATAAACCCCAGCCAAGCCAGCAACAGAAATACAATTGCTTTTTAAGAATTACCTTCAGTATTTCATCCAAAAGAACAGATTTAATTTCTAAATCCTCAAAGTTACAAATATATCCAGAAGTCTGAATGGGCTCCTTTAAAGATAAAAACAAATGTTATGTTAAACTGTACAAAATTTTCCTTCCTTCAATATAAGATTTTATATTTTATTATCAACATTTCCAAACCAAGAGAAAAGTAGAAAGAATGTCATTAACACCCGTATGTCCATCATCTAAATAATTATTAACATTCTGCTAAATATGCTTCAGTCAATTTTTTGGCTGAAATATTTTAAAGTAAATCAAGTAAATTTACAGACATCATGAAATTTCACCCCTAAATATTTCAGTACATATCTCTAAAAGATAAAGATGTTCTTAAAAAAAAAAAAAAAAGATGCTCTTTATATGGCCACATTACTGTTATTATGCCTTATGTAATCAATATTAATTCCCGAATAGCATCTAATATCAGTCCAATTTTTCTTAATCCGGAAGCGTCTGATACCACTAGATAATTCTTATTCATGCAATGCAATATTAAATTTAATTCTTAATAAAACTGACAAACACTATATTTGTAAGTACATATATCAAAGAAAACTTGTACCATACTGAAAAGTCCATCCTATGTAACATTAGCCAGAGAGCATTCCTGATAGATTTTCTATATAAGAAGACTTAATTTGCCAATATGTAAATATACAAGTCTGTTACAGGTCTGTCTCTCATCCTGGTATTATGCAGGCTTATAGAAATAAAGTGTAGTAAATGCATATTACAATGTAAAATAGCTGCCCTAAATCCCTAGTAGAAAAAATTAGGTATAAGTATTATGTAAACAAAAAGAAATAAACTCTCAATATACTTACTACCTCCAAGAACGCTGTAGAAAGGATAAGTTAATGTCTGGTAATGGAAATAATACCAGAATGTAATTTTTTTTAGATATGTGTGTACATGTATATCATGAAACAGAAAGTAAGCAAAATCCAAAGGAAATAACATATTGAATTTTTAACTCTGAAACTTAGTTCTTCATATGATAGAAACTACAAAAATTATAATAGGAAGATACTAAAAAGATGGAAATTACAGGTAAAAATTGAATCAAATTTAGTTTTAGTATGTCAAAGTTTAAGAATAAAGCTCCTGGGGGAGCCTGGGTGGCTCAGTCCTTAAGCGTCTGCCTTCGGCTCAGGTCATGATCCCAGGGTCCTGGGATCGAGCCCCACATCGGGCTCCCCGCCCCGCGGGAAGCCTGCTTCCCCTTATCCCACTCCCCCTTCTTGTGTTCCCTCTCTCACTGTGTCTCTCTGTCAAATAAATAAATAAAATGTTTAAAAAAAAAAAAAAAGGTTCTTGTATACACATTATATGTGTTTAATGAGTCTTAAAGTGATGATTTTCTTTTAAAAAGTAAAAATTGTTGGGCGCCTGGGTGGCTCAGTTGGTTAAGCGACTGCCTTCGGCTCAGGTCATGATCCTGGAGTCCCTGGATCGAGTCCC